ATTATTATTATTATTATTTGTTTTCCAGATTTGACACTTTGTAATTTTTTTTAGTCATTAACCTTTTCAGCTCACAATCTAAGTTTAATTGGAGCAGGGTCAGGACAAAGATGTAGAAAATAAAATAGGTTACAATGTTATTCACAAACAGCAATAGTGGACATCCTGTAGGTACATCAGAAGACAAATGTTCAAATAAATGCTTCCATTTCTGGCTTTTTTTTTCTTTTGTTTAACCCTAATGCTCTTTAATAACTTGTCTCACAGAGTGCAAATCAGTTTCAAACACTTCAGAACTGTAACACTCTACAATATGTTAGATAATTTCCACTGTTGATTCAGAAACACAGACTGTACTGCTTACTGTGATACTTGATGCATCACAGAAATTTGTTTTTTTGCACCAATTTTTATCAAATCATACACAGAAAAAAATATATTCAGCCAAAATAACTCTGTTCTTAATAAATAAATAAATAAATTTAAAACTATGTGTAACTTTTATCAAATCATACACAGAAAAAAATATATTCAGCCAAAATAACTCTGTTCTTCCGTGTGTTTATATCATTGCAATGTGCATTTGGCTGCATTTGTTCACTCAAAACTTTCTAAATAAGCTCTAAATATTTTCCTGTTGGTCCTTTTGTGCTAAACTTGATCTTTATCTTGAGAAATTGTATGATGGAAATATCAAGGATACAAACATTTTCATCCAGTAATACCCTAGTGAAAAAAAAAGTAAATTGTATGGTACAACCTGACCTCCACCCTCCCATTAAAATAAAATAAAGTACAAAAAAGAAAGAAGAAATGTATCAATTTAAAAAAGAAACATCCTTAAAATATTCATTCTAAAGTCAACGATATCAGTTCTGTGAAAAGCTTTCTAAAAACCGTCTATGACAGAAGTCAAATTTGACAAGATGATTATTCAGAAACAAATCTCAGCACATTAAAATCAAGGTTGTTTAACAAAAAATAAAACTAATTAATGCGCAATTCCAAACTTGCGCTTGACTCACTTAAAGGTTTGTATATCAGCTGTCCTGTGAGTGCTAATCAGCAAACAGAGCTTGCTTCTGAAAGTATCCATCTATTATTTTTATTATATATTTATTTTTAATATTTTATGTTGTTTTCAGAACCACATCTACAGTGGATCCAAGCAGGTGCAACACTTTTGATGTTGACGTCAGCAGACAGCTGCCCGTGGATTGGCAAAGCTAAGACAGAACTTAAAAACTCCTCCAGTAAACTTTTCCTAGACAGCAGCGCAGGAGACAAGCGCATACAGCTTGAGCTGGACGAAGCAGTCTATAATGAGCAGATAACTCGGGAGCTTTG